AAGAAATATGGGAAATAATCAGAGATGTCAGGAGGAAGAGGAGGTCAGCTGCTGGTGAAGCTGCTGGTTACCAGTAGACCAAAGTGAGTGAGAGTCTGTCTCCAGCTTTTTACTATGATTCTGACTTTGACGGTGTGTGAGGCAGGAAGTCTGCGGTGGAATGTGGCCTCGGCTCGGCGTGAGCACCGCTGATAATACCAAACTAATGAACATGAGCTCAGTGCAGGTGTTCAGTCACAGGCTCGTTGGTCAGCTTAACTCAGCTTCTCTCTGATGTTCAGTCTGTCATTGAAGAGAGACTGGATGTGAAGGCTGAACATCTGAAATGGTTTATCAGTGACTCATGGTGATGTATGATCCTGATGTTGTGCTGTTTGCTTTTTTTCTGTTTCATAAAATACAACAATCTAATGTCAATAACGAATCAGACGGGGGCGCTCCTATAGCTCACCTGGTAGAGCGGGCGACCCATGAACAGGGGCTACAGTCCCCGACGCAGCGGTTGTGAGTTCGAATCCCGCTCATGACCCTTTGCTGCAGGTCTCTCCCTCATTCTTCTACCCCCTTTCCTGTCTCCCTCTCTACTGCTCTAAATAAAGGCAAAAGCCCAAAAAATATATTTAAAAAAAAAATAAAAAATAACGAATCAGACACAAAATGCAGTGTTTTGTTGGACGTGGAGGTATAAAGCCTATCCCAGCCGACTTAGGGCGAAGGCAGGGGACACCCTGGACAGGTAACCAGTCTATCACAGGGCCAGATAAAATACAGATTTTTAAAAAATAAATTCAGCAAACGGGATTTAAAAACAACCAAAAAATGATCTTCAGAGAGAAAGCTGTGTGATAGAAAGAGAGCAAAATGGCACATTTGGAACGAGGCTAAATGCAAGGAGTTGTACAGTCACGGTGAAATCAGTCATCTTTCTGAAAATTTGAGAGTGTCATTAATTGTTTGACGTTTAAACGAACATCTGCGCTGGTTTCATGCTGCACAGAAGGCATGTCTAAGTCCTCTCTCCTCCTTCATGGTCTCTGTGGAGGTTCAGGACTTTACGTTGCAGTGAAAGCTGAACTAACGATGAATAGAAATGTGACAGGAGCTAAAACACCCAGAAGCTGCTCTGAGTTTCGAGGGTTGAATCATGATTTTGAGGCCAGTCTGTGTCGGTCGACTCGGCTGTAATCTTGCTGATTCGTCCAGTTTCTTGAGTGTCTGTGGCATCTTTTCCTCTCTGACAGTCGGTCATGTGCACAGCTGTGTGTTTTCCTCTGGAGGAGGTGAGCTGACGGATGACAGACGACTGAAAGCAGCTGTTCAGAAACTGCAGCTGCTTCTGTCAGTAAAACTCTGCAGCTTGAAGCAGGAGATTCAGGGACACGTTATCAGGTTTATTCATGATGTTTTGCAGCGTATTTTTGCTGCGGTGACGTAACCAGTTTCTTTGCTGTATGAACACCTCTGACAGCAGCTCTGATACTCTGGACGCTGCTCTGCGTGTTTGTGGTCACGAGCAGGATGAGGGAATCAGAAAACATGCCAGAGGTCAACCGTTTGTAAAACTTGTGTCATTCAGGAATGCAAAGGCTTCAGAAGCACCGGAAAACAAGAATAAATTCTGTTTCTGTGTCTTAAAAAACACGCTGACGGTCAGCTTTGGAGTAAAAACAAGTCCCAGGCTTGTGTTGTTTAGCAGTCGACTGTTTTTTTTACGGTTGATGCTGATTTTGCAGAGATCAGAGCTACTGACGGTGAACATATAAAGCTTAGATCATGTTGTTATATATTATTGCATTTAATAAAATGCAGTAATTTAAGAATGATAATAAATGAGACACAAAATAGCTTAATTTGAAGGAACATCTGCATCGTCTCTGCTTCCTTCATTAGTTTAAATTAAAAAACTTATGAAGAAATAATAAAACAATCTTCATTCTAGTCCATTTATTCAGCAGCTTCTCCTGCTCCATGTGCCTCCTTTAACCAGGATCATATTTGTCATAAATATCGTCTGTTGCACCACATTAGCTGCAGACTCAGCTTCCTGTAGCTGGAACCAACCCGTGATCATCTCAGCACGGTGTTTAATTGACCCGTTTAATTAATCGATCCATCGCTGGTGGTTTAAATGTCAGTCGTGGGGATTTAAACACAGATTACACTCTAAGAAATAAAGAGAAAAACATGAAACATGACTTGATATCAGCAGCTCTGGAGTTCATTTCACACCCCGTAGTCTCTGTTTTGCATCTTTGAACTCTGATCTCTCAGCATTTACATCCTCTGAGCTGCTTCCTGACTCATATGGTTAAAATTAGAACATGATGCGTAATGTGTGAAGTCCATGTCTCAGTTTAGCTGCTGCACAGAGCTGCATCTCTCTTTGCCAAAGTCATGAATAAATTACTACTGTTTCAAACTGAAAATCGTGCAGCTGCATTGAACTGCTCGGACCTTTTTGACAAATTTAACATTTGCAAAGATGTTTTAGTGGAAACATCAGTACAAAAGGGTTTCCTGAAGTCCTGAACACTCAGCGTGATCAGCAAACCACATGTTCTGAGCTCTGAGTTAACTTTATAGGCTTTAAATAAAAATAATACGTTTATTTGTGAAGTGCAACAAGTGCAACTTAAAGGACTTTACGTCAAAAGAGGAAAAAATAATATGAAAAATCAACACAATAGTGATGATACATAAATTGCAAAACTGAAATCAAAGTAATGAATAAATCTGATGCCAGTAAATTACATGAAACTGCATAAAAACACAAGAAGAACATCTTTGTTTGTTCCACTAGTTGGAGGTTATTCAGGAACTGACCAATAAATCAGATATTTAAGAACTAAAAGCAAATCCTGAATGAGTTTTAGACTAAAGCCGATGAAGAACCTTTAAAACCGGAGCAACGTGTTTCTGGTTTTGTTGAGACTCTTCCTGACTGCGTTTCGGGATCATTAGAAGTTTATTTAAAGACTTCTTTGGAAAACAGGAAACAGTTCCGTCTGCTGGAAATAAAACAAATCCACGAATAAGTCTTTTGGTTTATTTTTTTTAGACAGGACAAGTTGCTTCAGGGGTTTAAAAAGTAAAAGCAGAATCTTAAACTGATTCTAAAGTCAAGCCAACAAAAAGCCTTTTAAATCTGGAGTCATGTCCGTTTTAGTTGTGATGAGAAGCTGCAGATTCATTTGAAAACAATAGTAAATATGAAAACATGTAATCAATAAAGGCAGACGTAAATGCATGAGTAAATCTTTTCTTCCTTAGAGAGGAAAAGCTGTAATTTCTGAAATGGCTCAAGTTTCTTTCTAGCGTTTGTTCTTACCAGAGATTCAAAGCTAGCAGTCAGTAGCTGTTGACTTCTGTGAGGAAGTTCGTATTTTACTGTAAACCAGCTCTCATTATCAGCTAATCCAGGCTGAACACTAATTTCTAATCTGCTGAACTGCTGTTTTAATCCATTAAAGTGAAGTCCAAGCTGCTTTTGACCTCATCAGCTCATCGTAAAGTCTTCAAAATCTACTAGAAAAGTAAAAGAACTATTTGCAATAAAAAAACCACCTCTTGTTCCTGTGTGATGCTCACATGTGGCTCATGGTGCTTTTCTCTTTTCTGCACTCGTTTAAACGCTAATTTCCAATCTGCTGTTTGAACCTATGAAAGCGAAGGCCGAGGTGTCCAGGAGCTGCTGCTGCTCTCGGCTCCAGCAGATGTTGACCTCATTAGTGGGCTGCTTGTGAATTCAACACCCCGCTGGCTCGTCTTTAGCTGCAGCCTTTGGCCGCCTTCGGTCCGTCTGACTCACCATCGGGCTCGTGTCAGAGTTTGTTTCTCACTTCTGCTGCCATTAAAGGGAACGTGGCTGCGTGCACATCTCTGCACAGAGCACAACAAACGCTATCAGCGCCGAGGCGATGCAGCGTTTTTATGATGGTGTGATGCTTCCGTGGTGACGTCAGCAGTAAACACGGTGCAAAGTGCAGCCGCAAGTCAGACTGTTGCCTGGTTTCACTCC